CCCAACTATGCTGTGAAGAAATGAAATAGTTACCTTTATTTTCTCGGAGTGTTGGCCCTCGCTGAACTTCACTGCATTCGCCAGCTTGTGAACGCCGTCTTCAAGCTCACTACTGTAGCGCTGTTGTAACATTTGCCCAGCATGGTTGCTCGTCTTGATTATAATCAACGCCAACAACGGAAGCACGAGCACGAGCACGACAACAGTGAGCGGAGAACACACCCGCCGTAGATATCGCATTATAATATACAGCCCCATCAATAGCGGTAAATTATGTAAACGCCGTCGGCTCGCACACACGTACGTTCAGACGGAGTTAGCAGACACGAATCTGTCAACGAACCTTTGAACGAGGTGAATAATACGAGGACTGGAGATGGATCACACTTTGTAATTTATCACGTAGAGATGACAGCTATATCAGTATGGTATGCTGACTGTTGTAAAACTAATGCCTAACGTTTGCAAATTAATAGTCAACAGGTGACAGACCAGTTATATGGAGGCCGACCACTACACCTGCGATAGACTTGAGTGCATGGTGGTTACGTAACTTTCGTCTGTTTTCTGTAAATTTCCCACAAATAACTTCGACTATGCAGTCTAATAACTCTTCCTGTCACACGCAATGTAATATTACCGTAGTTGGTATAGGACAGGTGTGATGGTTCAAATACCAAAATGGCAACAGTAACAGAAAGACTTCCCTGGCGGCGATGATAACATACGAACACGGAGCCAACAGATGAGGTTTCAACTGGTACTGGTATTATTATCATCAAGTACAATAACGCGGTAAAACTCCACTACTCCAATAACTAGATACTTAAACTCCAATACAATTCAACGAGATCTCCCCTATATATACCCCCACTGTCTATAAATAGATCATTACATCAGCATACATAATGAGTCTGGAACTTACTACCAATTTCTAGAATGTTCCATTACCTTCTATTGCCTCCTACAGTGTTCTATTACCTATTCAACCATTTTCTAAAAAAATCTAGAATATTCCACCCAGACACACTACGGTTCTAGAACATTCTCAGTGACACGGAAGTGGTAAATAAGTCGTATGCGACACTTCATTAAGACGCCGAAGATGCGGGAGATGTTGAAATAGTTACAAATCAATAAATAAAATCATTTTTTTATAGGTAAAATCAGTTCAAAAGAGGCCACTTATAAATTTTTGGCGTGTGGGGTTCGCCCAAATGCTATAATAATGAAGGAAAAAAAATGGGCTAAGATTCGTATAAATTATATTATGTAAGTTTTTTGGAAACGCACATTGTGATCAGACTTGTGCAGCAAACGACCTTCAGTGTATATTTACAACCACATTTGTCAGTTATAATATTAAATATACGTCATAAATTACAGTGACAATCATTATATTGTGATATTTAGGGGGTGTAATCCATCTGCGACGTGTTTATAGTTGGCCCGTACGATTTTTACAGTCGTAAACCATTTTGCTGACAATTCAATCCGCGCTGTTTAAATGAGTGAACCAAAGAAAAAAAATACTAAAATATGTTGGTTCAAGTTAAATCTAAAAGTATTATGAATACGAAAGCAGTTTATCGAGAAGTGTATCGAGCAGCGTCTGTTTCAGAGGTTTTCCAGACTGCTAATATGATTCGATCAGTTGCATTCTGCATCACAGCGCGGAAGGATACATTCAAATACTTTCCTCATAAAATGGCCTTCCCCCACTCACGCTTGTGTCCTGTGTTCGCTGTGGACAACAATTTTAGCCAGTAAACCTTTCGTTAAAAATCTTTCTCTCGCACACCAACCATGGATTTAGTTCTTCGAATACTCTGCGTACTATCAGGTAGGTAGGGTTGTTAAAGATGTTTGGCAAATTACATCATACTTTTGTTATACTTTAACGTATGTTACAGATAGACGAGTCATTTTTAACAAAATACGATAAAAGGCTTACCGTTTATTCTACTAAATTCATGCCATCATTACCATCATGTCCTCGTGCATATCTGATCAAATGTTTTTTTTTGAGTTTTAGCTACATACCTAAATTATGTTATGTCAATCATAACGCGATATTTTCTAAAAGTTACACATTATTAATCTCACTCTTTCATCATTCATTTCGATCACAGTATTTATCCTTTTATTGGGAATATGATAGGATCCGGGGCCTCAATACAACTTCAGTGTTTCTTTTTCTAAAGTTCCTAATATCCAATGCCTCGCTTTTTTCACTTGGTAAACTATCACTCGGCGCCTGGAGGGAGTGGTAATTGTCTGCGTAGCTATTTCTGAAAGAAAACTGAGGAAAACGCTGCTTCTTCGTGAGTTGTCCCATCAGCAAAACCTTCTCCCGAAATGAAGATTATCTCCAAACAAGCCTGAAATAATCACAGCGTTTTATATATTTGACAAATTCCATTAAAAATGTAAACAAATTAGGTTAAAATATTAAAAGAATATTTACCAATCAGATTACTTTTACCTTACTGTTCCAAGTGTTTCATCAGTTAGACCAACTAAAAAAATGGTGAATATTATTTCCACCCTCAAAATAAACATATCGTTTGCTAGTGTTATTTTAAATGTGCACAAGAAGACCTCATAAATTTAACATCATTGATATGTATGTGTATGGGCCGGTGGCCTAGGAAAGCAATAAAATACTTATTACTGTTTTATCATTGAGCTATCAAAACTCGTCTTCGTGTTGAGTGTTTGTCTTCTAATTGGGACCCACATTTATCTCCAGATTTAGTGTATAATTTTCCTTGTTACCGATAGGGACTGATTCATAAAAGTAAAATCGTTTTCATCACTGTGATCAAAAAAAGCGCTGAAGGCTGGTTATTATCCTAATAACACAGTTTCTAATAGCGCACCATGTGCAGTCATTCAAGGTGCTCGAAATCAGTCGAATATGACTAATATAACATTATCTCTGTTTTTGATAATACGAAATAAAATTATTTATCAATTCACCAACTTGGTAAATGTCACGTGACCTTGAACTTCGTAAAGCGGGTCGGTCAAGCCATAAAACTTATTATATTACGTGATTTAGTAGAAAAAACAGCTCACATATTTGTTTTCTCCACCGAAAACGTTTTTTTTTTTAAATGTTTTATTTCTGTGCCAGGCGACAGTTCCGAACATAGAATGTCACTGTTGTCTCTTCTGACTTGTTTTTTTGTATGTGCAAATTACAATTGCAAATGGTAATATTAATGCGCTATCCTGGCGTCAACCAGGCTCGGTCAAACACAAGTACCTGCTGACCTTAACCAATGTTCCCCAAAGTCGCATTCGTTAGTGAATGAATCTCGGCCAGTGGAATTGGCCTTCCCATTGAGTCTGTGACACACTCGCCCAGGGTATGGGTCGACCCTTTTGATGATTAGCCTAAGGTAGGATTTGACAACCGCTATGCTACCAGTGACCAAAAACTTAAGGCCTCAGAATCAGAAGATTCTGCACAATTTAAAATGGCATTGAGTGTGTTACTGAAATAGGTATATATATTTTTGAAAATACGAAATAAAATTATTTGTTGAACTTTCTAACCTGAGTAATGACCAATTTGGTGAATGACACGTGACCTTGAAATTTGTAAAGTGGATCGGTCAAATCATAAAACTTATTATATTACGAGATTTAGTAGAAAATGTTTGCTGGCCAATATCCCAATAAAATATCGTTTTGTAGACACGTTGGCCAGGAGTCTAGTACAGACAGAATGGCATTTTCGTCAGTTAGACCAAAAATTAAAAGTGTATGATATTTAGCCAGCACGAGCGTATATAACATTATTTCTGTTTTTGAAAATACGAAATAAAATTATTTGTTGAATTTTCAAACACAATTGGGTGAATGTCACGTGACCTTGAACTTCGTAAACTTATTATATTACGAGATTTAGTAGAAAATAAACAGCTCACCATTTTGTTTTCTCTACCAAAAACTTAAGACCTCAGAATCTTAAGATTGTGTGTTTAGTTTAACCATGGACGTACTACCATGGTCTAACACAGTCCCTGAAGCACAATTTAAAATGGCTACTATATATATAGAAAGAGGGTGCTGTGTGCGGTGGCATAGTGACGAATACGTTATTTTTGTTATAACTAATAAATACATTCGTTGAATTTCAGACAACTAATAAACAAACTGGCAACGCTATTGTTTAGAGGTGTCAATCGGCGTAATCCCCGGCGAACGTGTGTCTCGGCTACACTGGTGGCTCACGCTTTGCCGAATTTTGCCGAATAGCAATTACACACATCGGGAATCCTCGGTCTCGCGTGCATTTCCGTCATTCTCTGTATTCACGGTTCAGATCAGATCACCTGGAAACAAGGGGGTTCACGTCGAGTTGCCGAATAGTATATTTTTTAGTCAAAATTTACCATATTTTTGAAAAGTAACGATTCCCTGAATGTATAGACTATTTTCATAGTAATGTTCTTGAATGAATAATTAAAAAAAGGAACGACTTTTACCGCAATCAGGCAATTTGTTTTCGATAGTTGCTCGATTGCTAGGATAGTCACGTCGCCATGTTTACAACAAAGTTGGTCTTACGTTATTTCATTTCGCCAATCATGTATTAATAAGTCTTTGAAAATATGATACATCAAGATAAACTATACCAATAAACTAAATCGAGGCAAAATTAATATAACGGTCTCGAAATAGTACTGACGCGATGTTTTGATTTTGTACATGTGTGTAGCAACGTCGCGTCGAGAGAACGCTTATTACTTCCAACTGATTTGACCTGCAATATGAAAATATGAAATTTTGGTTTGACCTTCCTGTTGAAACAAGTCGTGCGATATCGCGTTTCTTCGTAAACACCCCCCCCCGTTGTTTTGAATATTAAAACGTTGAGGGGCAAGAATCACTCCGTTGCGTTAATATAATGAACACCATGTACAGCCTTAGACGGTATACAGGTCTATACACATCGCAATCATTTTCAATTTAAAAAAATAATGCTTAAGACCCTCAGAACAAAATAAAATTAATGACCGGCGTAGAAAAGCTGAGCGCTAGTGTAGTGGCCTCGTAGCTTACTGACTCAACCATATGGAGATCGCGACGTATGCAAATTAGTAAACATTAGTTAAACATTAACGTTGACATTGCAATCTCATGTGACCTCAAACCCATCGGATCCTGGTACACGAAACTGAAGGTCGTTTCAGTGTATGTTCGAGTTAGTGTAAACAAACGGCAATCAAATACAATGTGATTGTTGATAACTTTATAAGTGAAGTGGTTGAGTTTAAAAACACAGATGCCATCCAGATCACCATTTTGCATAATATGTAATTTGTAATACCTGGTAAGCTAGCGTAACTGAGCGGTTTATTGATTTAATCATAGACCCTCTGTTAGAGGGTCTATGATTTAATAAAAATCGACCTGAAGTAATCACATTGCACCCCGTGGACTTCGGACGTCGAGATTTAGATTTTTACGCATGACCAAGTTGGGTGTGTTCGTGTTATTGTTGGCCACTTGACACTGTGCGAAAATATACCCTGAAACTAAAATTCTGATCTTAATTTCGACCCGTTCTTGTCAGAATCATTGTTACTGAAGTACATTGCTAAAAAAACACCCTTTTTAATCGCAGAAACATTAATCAAAATAGCGTCCTTTGAATATATGCCAGATGTCCAATATTTTGCAAACTCTTAGGTTATCCGGATTTCTTTCATATAAACGCACATGTTATCCACCGAGCTTACTTCGTGAAGCATCCTCGTGTGCCCCTCTTTAAATTTCAGTTTAAAATTCAAGAGAATTGTTCATTTACAATAGACGAATGTCGCGTTATAGCGCCATCAGTTGGTTCTTTGCGAGACTTGGGGAGTGATTTAATTTCTTGCTCGCGCAATTTATTCGTTGGGTTTCCCCGGTTCCCAGCGTTCAGATGAATTATCGAACGTTTACGCGGCAAAATCCACCCCTTCGCAGAAAAAAATGGAACGTACAAGTTTCTAAGGTAACGGTGAAACTCGAAACCTGTCTATTGGTAGATGGTTTCACAACGTTGCAGCACGTAAAGTTTCTAAGGTAACGACGGATCTCGAAACTTCGACAAACGCTAGTATGTAAACAGATTCAACATTCGGCTTATCGCTGGTAGCTGGCGTCACTCGTCGTGTACGTCATCACGCATTTGTCTTGCCGGGGTATCGAACAATCGTGGCAGCATGTCCAATGTAAACGCAATATTTTTCACTAGAATTTAATGTTAACATCCAGTGAGTTTTCAATTCAATGACTTTCTTAGGAAACAACGAGTTGCGCTGTACATTACATGTTCATATCTATTTCACCTTTACAGTTACTAGCGGACTTCTCTCTATGAACGAAACTAGAAAATAAGGCCAAATAAAACCAAGCGGCAAATAACAGATTGTATACAACACTTCAAACGGAAGTCGGTTGTAATGCTATAAAAGGACCGTGTCCGACAAGTTCCTTAAGCCTGTATCGCGTCCACAACTGAACATACAATATGACAAAAAAGCACGTCTAGTACCATAGCATAGATATATTGATTATTTAGTGAAACGTCTAAACCGTGACAGCTTCGCAAAATTTGAATGCAGACGTAACATTCACAGTTTGACATGATCGCATTGGCAGCTTCGGTCTCAAATCATTGACAAGAAGACTTACAGTACTAGTACTGTACTTGTAAGTCGCTGTTACTTGTCTCGAGTCTCCTACGGTAATGTGAATGCGATTTCTATTGCAAGCGTATCAGAAATATATGGTACAAAACTTTACGTAAACTTTGAATTGCTGGCGAAGAAAATTGCTCAC